TGAAGTGCGACTATTGTTTACTAGACCCTACTTGATGTATTAGATGCCTATGTTGCCATTGGCGGCTTGATTATTCCATTGAAGTTGAATGTCTGAAGTGCGACTATTGTTTACTACACCCTACTTGATGTATTAGATGCCTTCAAGCAAAACAATGATGTCACAAGATCAGAGTTTTAAAAGATGCCATTTAATTTAACTTTGCCTTTATTATTGAGATAAAAACAATTATTTCCAATTATAATTTTTGTCTTTAAAGGATTTTTTGAGACAAATAAAGTTCGATATAACTTAAAATGCAGTACAAAAGCAACAAAATGAAACGACCCACACTAGTCCTCCCTCCCGCTATGATACAAATGTAGTCCCTCAAAATTAATAGTTATTTTCCTCTAAAGAATACCAGTCCCCCTCCACTCGCTACATGATATAAATATATGAAACTCACTCTTATAATTATGTTCTTTGTAGATTATCAATTTCTTTAAAATAATCGACACCTATACAAAAATCATTTTTCTTCAACAAGCAACGGATTTCGAAGGGTTGGACTTTCAAACAATCTATTCCAGTTCAGCCCTGTAAACCTTTAACTATAATATCATATGAGATWCTATAAGACTATTATAAGAWACTATACGTACTTGAGTTTTTGTGCGAGTTTWCTGATAGTTCGTTCCTTTATAAGCGCGTTAACACGATGCGGTTCAAGTTCGGGTCTATGTCCACGCATGAAATGCTTCCTCAGAGAAGACTGCGGMTTTTCATCGTGATGTCTGAGTCGTTTCGATTTTGCTTCTTCTTCCAGAGTTTCTTTCCTTGCTTCGTCAATTGTCTTGGTCAGCAAATCTTCACTGAGACCAGGGATGTCTTCTACGCGTTTGGATTTRACCTGATGTTCGTCTACTGAAAAGTGCAAAGCGTTGTGTCTCATGTTTCTCATTTTCGGTAAGAATTAAAGAAACCAAGCAAACCCCCAAAAGCAAAATATACTATTACGCTGAGCAAGCGATTTAAACATCGAGTCAACTTGGGKTATATAATAAAATCAAAACAAATATTGCTATTTTTATCAGTGCGGGTTGCGTCCACACGAAACATACCCGGAAATTTTTCAATTGTTTGTAAACTTCTAGAATGCGGAAAATGTTTTWGACGCGTAGAATACAAACACTACAATTTCCGCATGCTRACGAGGGRTTTTGTTCCTTTTGGCACAATCRAGATAATGTACGTGGAAATGTTCGATCAGGGTTTTCGTTTGCATCACAGTTCCATTATAGTTGTGTAATATATATAGAATATGAGCGGCTGATATGTCTCGGGATATACTACCCTCTTCTGAAGAACTTTCCACTCTTTTTCTTTCATAATGAAGATTTTTGCTTTAGAGCGGGCATTGCATGCACGAACTATTTAGTGACTGGATGCACAAATTTTCACTTTGAAGTTGATCTRAATTCAATTCAATTCGACTCAACKTAATATATTTTCTGGAACGTTCACTCCYRGTCTTTTGTGTAGTTCCTTGCCATGGTCTGGTAATAGACTCGGTAGCGAGTCCATTGAGAGTTTGGTTATAAATCAAGTCGTATTCGGTTTAAATTATTTTAATTGRCAATGCAACYACTASTTTGGATAAAGGACTTTTGTTCGTTAACTTTTGAAAGTCATGCACACAGAATGACTACTCACGCATATTACGTAACGTAATCCTTTTGTTTTTAAAAATCGTGTAAAATGAAAATGGTTTAAAAACACTATGGCATTGTGCTGATAACGCAGAGTTTATGTCTAATATGTCTCGGACTCGTAATTTCTTTAAGAAATATGCAAAAAAAACAAATACTTTTCATGAATGATCGATTTAAAACAGACAGTACACTGAAAGTGTAGAAACTGAAAGTTTTAATATCTAATAAATGCGGAAATGACTTAAATTAAAAAATGAAAGTCGATTAAAAATTAGAAAAATACCTTCTGATTCTTGAGGGTCGCTATCTTGTGGTTCTTCTTGGTCGCTCTCTTGAGTTTCTTCAGGGTCACTTTCTTCTGGGTTTTGAGGGTCGCTTTCTTCTGGGTTTTGAGGGTCACTTTCTTCTGGGTTTTGAGGGTCGCTTTCTTCTGGGTTTTGAGGGTCGCTTTCTTCTGGGTTTTGAGGGTCGCTTTCTTCTGGGTTTTGAAAGTCGCTTTCTTGTGTTTCTTCAGGGTCGCTTTCTAGTATGATCGAGTCATCGTCTTCAATCGTGGATTGGACAAGAGCGAGGATGGAGGCTGTCGCCAATAGAGTAACTATCAAACGCACCTTCATGTCGGACGAAGGCGTTGGTAGACAGACGTTGACTTAAAAACTGCTGCAGTGCGAAGTTTAGATGGCAACGAGCTGATCTAAACTGAATTATATTAATATTGGACAATGATATAAAAATAATTTGAGTGATTTTTTTTTGGATGCCTTGATTCTGATTGGATGATCTCAGTTATGTGGAACTATTTATGACATGTGATGTCTTCTGTATTACGCACGTGAATAAGTAAAGTATTTTGTACTATTTTCTGCATGATAATTCTTTTGTTTTCTTTGTTCAAACAGAACTATTTTGTACAATCTAGTAATATCAGTGTTTYACGATTTTCCGAAATAGAAAGTGTGAAATTTCGAAGGAGTGGCGCGTTTAACCAACATTGGATGGCATTGTATCAGTGGTAACGTAAACTTTAGTGTTTCGCTGTTAAAACCCTTGAATCCGTCTGATTGACACAAAAGAAGATAACTACATATAGCCTCATGAACAGTGTAGATTGTCACAAATAAATTGAAATACAATTAAATACAATTTAGTACTGTTTAATTTCTAACTTTTTTCTTTGTTTAACACTCTATATAGAATCTCAATATTGAATCTCCGTAGTTTTATTATGAATACCGCGAGCTCGTATATTGATATAGCTATTTACTCCTGCTGTGCACGCATACAACGAGTCTTCTAGATGACACCCCGCAGCAAAACAGTTAATTGGAARCGGTGGAGTGAAAACARAAGAGAATGAATACCTTTAGCTATTARGTTGGCACAATTGCCAAAACACTGAAGTAAKTATACAAACACGCCATACTCAACTTGGATCCAGTTCTTGATATTATTATTAGCGATTTCCTCTGGACCAAACAATCAAAAATAGGAAAATAT